GTCTGATGAAACTTCAAGAGGCAGCCCCGTGTCTTCCTACCCTGGCCTCTTTCCGGAGGCCTCTGGTTTTCATGTTTTGCCTCGACAGCCCACATATCTACAGCCCTTGGCTGGTTACAGACCATCCCTGCTGAATTTCAGAGACAACATCCAGCTGGTAGAGAGGGAGAGAACAGAGTTCTAAGGGGGCGCAGCATCATGACCAGACTCCTTAAATTGTGAGCCTCCTCCTGCATGCTTAAGAATCTGTTTGCAGAACATCCTCTTTGATCATTTCATTTGTCCTCCGTTGAAATTGTTAGGAGCCCCCTTGACCCCAGTCATAAAAGAATGTTTTAAGGAAAAAAAAAACTCTCTGAAGAAGAATGCTATTTACAGAAATGCAATTTGAACTCAGTCTCCATCTATCCTGCTGGGTGAGGCAAGCGGTGCTCAGGGGGTCAGGCTTACATTTCAAAAGCAGCTGCTCCCCACCCAAGGCCCCGAGCATTTTAGCTACAAGAAGTAAATATTAGCCCTGCCTTGCTGTGCGGATACTGAAGAACAGAGAGGCCGGGGGACGTGCACTTCCTTTCCCGTCTCCTTTCCAGACCCAGTGGACTACTTGATATGAAGAGGTCGTTTGACAACAAAAGAAATCCTGCCATCATTGTGAAGAGGAACTTGGGATGCTCATGACTATTATGCAAATTCCTGAGCACAGGCATGATGGACCTCCCTCACCTGAAATGTTTCCCAGAGCCAGGAGCCTGGGTGTCCACTCCAACCTGGGCGGTTTCTGCAAGGACTGGGCTTCCTAGAGTGACATCTACCTACAAGTTCACTTACAGTACTTGTCATCCCTTATGCACAGTGGGTGGCCCCATCCAGGGTGCTTCAAAACCTGCTTGGGAAAACAAACATTTCCCTGCCTTCCTGGTCATAGGGCAGGATCACTGGCACCAGAAGGTGGTACACCTGGTGCTTCTACCCAGCAGCATCCAAGGATGCCTTGGGGCAGTCATGCTTCCTGTCCTCCATCTGGCCTTAGCCCCGGGCCAACCTCCCTACACATGGAGCTCAGGAAAGGCTTTCTCCTGCTGCTGCTCATTAGTGACTCTGCCTGGGCTAATAAGAAAAATGTTGTCAAGAGGGGGCCCAACCCGTGAGAATTGTAGAGCTTTCCATTGGGTGGAAGAACAAATAATCAGGACAAAATATACTGTGATAAGGAAGCCTGCCCTTTTGTTTACTGACACGCATCTCTGCTTCAAGCTATTTTAAAAATGACGATTTCATTTGCAAGGTGATAAAAGAATGAATGGAAATTTACCTATGAGCGTCTCTATAATTGAGTGCCTATCTGCAGGATGAATAGTGGAAGCAAATTATCCACAAATGGGCCAACTCTTTGCTTTACTAGGACTGTGCATTCTATTCTTCCTGTTCAATAGAGGACATTGTCTACTCCACCAAATTAGCCAAACACAGATAATGTTGTCAAAGGATGGCTCCATTAGATTTCACAAGATGCCTGACACCAATACAAAAGCTCTACCCTCACAGCTTTTCAACTTCAATTTTTTTCTACATGACTCAAAAAATAAATTTGTTTTGTGGGGCCAGAGATGATGAGTTTGACAGGTTTTCAGAACAGAAGATAAAAGAAAAGTTAACAGTATTGACTTGGGGGTGATTCCAGCAAATTCCATTAAGCTGAATACCATCCATGGGGAGGCAGGCAACTTGGTGACTTGGAGAGGACCTTCCAATTGGGGTGAAGGGGTCTGGGACCCCTGTCATGACCATGGTTTTGGCTCAGTTTGCACATTCAGCCACAGAGATGGTGGCACTGAGATCCAGAGCAGCGACTGAAGCTAAGAAGTCTGGTAGAAAATGAAAGACTAGGGAGGGGACACACCCACCATCTCCACGTGACCCACACCCGCAAGAGTGCTCAAATGCCAGCACCATGGAAGCGAGCGTAGGGAGAACTGAGCAGAGGGTAGGGCCAGGACTTCCTGGAGGTAGGCAGCTCTCTGGGAGAGGAGACCATGCCATGTGGCTCTGGTGACTTGAGCACTCACATGGCACTTCAGCAAGACCTAAGAGTGGTGATCGCTTTGTATTTGCTCACTTTCTTTTTTATTGAAAAAATAATCATAATAAAAAATAATTAATTCTGTAATTTTAATTACAGAATCTTAAAAAATAACCCCACAGTCTCACCAATCTGATCCAGTCCTGCACATTCTGCACGCCCCTTTCCACGTGCATGTGGTAGGTTGGGGTTTTCATTCCCTCTTCTCCACCCTCTGGAGGGAGCATGGCACACACCTCCCTTTTGGGGCATATGCTAAATTGGGACAGCTCAAGGGGAGACTGGAGACAGGGGCTTTCTGCCTAGTGGTGTGTGGGGTTATGCCGGGGGGTGGATTATAGGGCAGAGCAGGAGCTTGGTTGCCTGGTGGATGACGGTGAGACCACACTCTCTTCCATTCTCTCCCAGGGGCCTGGCTCTCAAGTTTGATGAGAAATGGGCTGGGAAATGGGGTGTGTCTGGGAGGGTGAAATGGCTGAAGGAATACTGAGTCTGAAGACGTATGAGGCCAGAAGTGGGGCTCTTAAGCTGAGGCACTTAAGAAACAGAGGAAATGGGGTTGGGTCTAAGAGGAAGGCAGTACTAGGAGGAAGGCTCTCAGGGGCTCTGAAGACAGTCTCAAATATGCAGTTCTGAGAGTCAGAGGGTCCAGAAGTCCAGCCAAGGAAGGTTTCTTACAGTGAACAGTGGGTGACTGGTGCTGGTGGAGATGACTCCTCTGTGCTTCTTTCCACATTTCATGGAAATGATGAGCTAATTAGCCATTGGACTGTTTTATGACATGCTTACCCTTTCAATATTTAGGGGCCAGGGATACAGTTTTGCGCTTCCCTCTCTCTCTCTCTCTCTCTCTCTCTCTCTCTCTCTCTCTCTCTCTCTTTCCAGGCATAGTAAACCCATTAGTCTGGGTTCACTTTTCTTGTCCAGTGTGGTCCTACGAGGGTGCACCACGTTTTCAACAGCCGTGCAATCTGTGGTTTGCTCTTTTGGTTTGGTGTTGTGTGCCCTGCACCTTACTGGTGATAGAGTGTCCTGGCAGACTCTGAGGACAACGTGGCCAGGCAAGGCTTTTCTCAAGCGTGCCAGGATGGATACAGCTTTTCATCTGGGTAGCTGTGGGAAGGTCCAGGTCTTGCTGTCTTCACCAATGGTACAGGAAAGTTTGTTCAGGGAAAGGGATAATGGGAACCACTCTAGGTATCTCAGGCAGAAAGTGATGGAATATAAGGATTTATAAGCTTACCCAATGGCTGGAGACGGGATGGGGGAAGTAAAGGTCAGAGAGGCCACATTCAGGAAATTTGGAAGTGGAGGAATTTCATGCGAAGCTGCAGCTGATGCTTTTAACTGCCTGGAGCATGGAAATGGGAGATTCTCAACTAAAACCTGGAAGCTACCAGCAAATTCCCAAATCACCTGCTCATAACATCTGCCTGAAAATCCGGGCTCCTCCTCCTCCAGATCTCATGGGAGCACCTTGCATTGGTAGAATTTCACTGCAACCCTGCTGACAAGGGAGTGTGGAGCTCTCCTAGGATGGGGGAGAGAGTTTAGAAGGGGGCACAGCAATGCCAGGTAGAAATAGCGAGTGTGGCACAGGATCTTCATAGCCTAGTAGAGCTCTTGGCACAGCAAAAGGACTAGATAGGTTTACTGAGAGAATGAGAGACTGGGTAGAAGTAGCACTGAGTGGGGCATCCCTATCCTGCCTAGAAAGACCAGGTTTCTGCCCTGCAGGCTGGGGTGAGTGGGTGGACCCACATAGAGTCTACTCCCATTTAGAAAGAGTGAGGGGGTGGGTCTAAAGAAATGCAAATTGTGGCTGTTGTGTGGATAGCTTCTTGGTCTCAGAGTAGTAAACACAGGGCAGAGGATTGGGTTGAGATAGAGGGGCTGTATACATCTAGGATTGCTCTTCTTTTGCCTAACTGTGCCATGATCAGATCTTATGGGTAGACTCTAAGCTTAGACATTTGGTGTATAGTTCTAAGAGACAATTTGTTCAAGGACACATGGGTCACTCTGGGGAACTACTGAGGATGAAAGCTATATTCATTTGACTGTTGCTTGTAAGCAACAGGAAAATTCAGATGTCTGCCTTCAGGCAAGGTTGGATCCAGCAACACAAGTGATACTCTTTCTTTCATTTCCTCTTTTCTTTGGCTTTGTTCCTTCTGATTGTCAACTTCTCCCCCGTTGTATGGGGGCTTCCTTTAGATAGTCAGGGAAGATGGTGACATCTTTTCAGCTGTACCCAGCTGGAAAGCAAACCTCCTTTCTATATGAGTAGAGGAACCAGAAAATGATTGGCCTTACTCCCTTGTGTCCATCTAGGCCAATTACTGTTGGGAGATGAGATATTCTAATTGTTTCAGCTTGGCACTCCTGCTCACCTCTGTGGCCAGAGGCTCGGGCTAGGGGAAGTAAACTATGATTGATAGCCCTGCAAGACCTCAAGGAGAGCAGGGGAGGGCCGGGCTCCCCAAAGGAATACAAGTTGCAGATAAAGCAACCTATTTCTAGAAGCAAAGAGAACAGGAAGAGGCTTAGGCTAGGATGACAGTGCCTGTAGGCAGAGAAGAAATGCCCTATGAGGGACCTCTGCTAGGTCAGCACCATCATCCACATGCACGGACCTGGGCATCCAGCCAAGCCTGCCCCAGCTCCGGGAGGGCTGACCAGCCTCCAGCAGGGTAACGGGGGATGCAGCAGCTAGACCTCTCCCTGGAGCATTACGAAGACTCTTGCTTCCCTCCATTATGTTGCATTTGCCATGAACTTCGTTTTAAATGTCATATTTGCTTTTCCCCTGGATACTGTGTCTGAGGATAACTAGACTTTTCAGCTGCATGGGTTTTATGTTAAAATATACCTCATCCAGGAGTGTTCCGACATTCTCCTTCTCTTTCCTTCTAGATGCTTCAGCTCCTGGCACACTTTCTACTTCGGAATTGTGGAATCTGCATTTATCTGGTCAACATTTACTGAAAATCTAACTCTGTGCCCTAGAGATTGGCCTCAAACAAAACAAACCCAGTCCTGGCCCTCCCAGAGCTTCAGGACCAGCAGGGAAGTCAGATATGCCACTAAAACAGAGACATCACCCAGCGGGTTACCACGGTACTTAGTGGTAACACTCAAGAGGTGAAGCGCTGGGGTGCTCACAAGCTCAGGCTTGGCCTGGCCCATGGTGTGTATGTGTGTGTGTGTGTGTGTGGGGGGGGGGTTCCTGGAGAAAGTGATGTTGGGCTGAAAGGTAAAGGCTGAAAGGCTGAATATTGAGGCAAAGAGGCTGGGAAAGGGGTGAGAAGAGAGGTGTTCAGATGCTAGTGCTCTGCGTGAGGAGTGAGGGGCTGCTCCCTGGCAGGGAGTAGCTGTGTAAGTGGAAAGGGGCAATGTCTGAGGGTCTCCTCTTGCTGCTCCCAGCTTGCCTGGGAGTAAGAACCTGGTTTTATTCCACTAGAGCTCTCTGAACACAAAAGAAATGGTCCCTGTCTCACTGCCCCAGCGCCCCTAGCTGCCAGACCACCTGGTGGAGAGGAGTGCATTTCCCTAGCTGCACTTGGGCATGAACCTCTCCTGTCAGGCTCAGCCTGGCGGTGGGATGGGGATGGGTCTGTGATCCTGTCGTTGTGTGATCCTGTAGGCAGGGAGAAAGAGGCGGCTGGGCTGTTGTGTAGGTGAGAGAGGGCAGTTCTCTCGGAGGTAACCCAAAGTGGCTGAGAGGTAAAGCCAACTGACCTGGCTGAGGTGGAAGGCGGGGTGGTATGATAATGCAGAGAAAAGAGAGATCAGGGGTGGGGGGGCTGGCAGTGGCCTGGGGGGATGGGCGTGCCATTCACTGAGGTGCAGAGGCTGGGAAGAAGCTGATTGGAGGAAATGTGCACACACACCTGTGCTCTTGAACGCTTTTAGTTCAAGGAGACGCCAGGGAGGTAATTGGATGCAGGAGGCTGGGCTGTAAACACAGGATGGAAATCCTGTGGGGGTCAGGAGAGGCCAGGCCTGGCTCCCCAGCCACAGAAACCGTTGGAGGTGGGTGAGAGGAGAGGCGAGCTGATAAACCCGACTAGGTGAAGGCACAAACCTGCCTGTGATAAATCATGCCGGCGAGGCCTGGGCTGCAGATGTGTGCTCTAAGGACCTCTGGGCGCTCGGGGCCTGTCGCTGGGTGATGGATGACGCTCCCCACCTACCCAGCTCCCGCTGGCTCCTGCCACCTCCACGCAGTCCCTCAGGAAAGGAGCAAAGAGCTGAGCAGGCGCTCCGTGACAGCCTTTTAAAAGTGACTTTTAAAACTTCTTATAATTGTTGATTAAAAGGCCCATTGCTCCAAAGGCTCTGTTTGTGGTGGAAGCAGGAAAGCCATTTGAGAAGAAATTTCTGGGGAGGCGAAGCGTTCCAGTAGATTGGCCGGGCGGCATTTTCAGTTCCAGGCGTACGTTTCAAAAGCCATTACAGCCCCTCCAGAAAGGCCTGCAAAGTAGTTGTTTAGAGAAAAGGAAAGATTTTGGAGGGAGGAGTAAATGCCAGCCGGGGGCTGGTAGGAGCCGTGGGAGCAGGAAGCGGGTGGCCTCCACCCACCTGCACCGGCGCAGGGCTGTCCCCACTCCCACCTCAGCCAGAAAGGCTGCTCCTCCCCTGGCTGGTGCAGGTCCCTCCCATGCCTCCGACTTTGTCCTTGCTTCACTTCTCCCTCATTTGGAAGGAGCACTGCAGCCTTCCTGAAGTTAACCTGTTCTGTGGTCTCCTTTCTCTGCATCTTCTCTGCCTCCAGTAGTTCCCTCTGGATTCCTGCAGCTCACAATGTCTGAATTTCTGAACATCCCCTGAATTCCTGCAGCCCATGGCAATTTCCTGGGCTTGGTTGTGACCAGGGACCCTCATGCTGCTGTCTCATGCAGGTCTCTGGTCACACAAGCTGGGATATACGTTCAGAGGGAAGTGTGCTCAGGATGCTGGGGATGGGAGGAAGCCTCAAATACCACATGGCTCCTTGTCTAGTGGCCAAGCTGTTGTGGGGGAGCTGGTCCTTGGCATCACCCTATCCTGGTCTTCACTAAGCCCCACATAGCACTGCCCTAGCAGGCACAGGCATGGAGCCTAGACAGTGGTGTGTGTATGTGTGTGTGTGTGTGTGTGTGTGTGTGTGTGTGTGAGAGAGAGAGAGAGAGAGAGAGAGGTTTTTTTTTTTTTTTTTTTTTTTTTGCTGAGCTAAGTTAAAAGCATGTCCAGGAGCCATGTATTTGAGAAAGGTTCATGTGTTCACAATAATAAAAGCTGGTATTTTTAAGAGAACTTCCCTGCACGGACCCTTTTCTAATTTCATTCCTTTGGCAAACTAGGCCGGTGGATGAACTGGATTTCAAAGATTAGAACATTTCGAACCTCTGAGCCCATCTTTTGGAATCCCAAAGGGTGTGAATTAAAATATGATTTTTGGCTCTTTTCAGCCTGAGGAGAAGCCTCTATAGGAGCAAATCACCGGAGAAAGAACACGAGGAGCCACAGGGTTGGTGTGGGCCCTGACCGCGCAGGAGCAGAGGGGCGATGAGGGCAGACCTGAGCGAATCTCAGCTCCTGGGAAGCTGAGGCAGGATTGCAAGCTGGGCACCTTAGCAAGACCCTGTCTCAAAACCAAAAACAAATAAACAAAACAAAAAAAAAAACAAAACCCCCAAACAACAAGACAAAACAAGAAACCAACTAAAAAACACATAAAACCCCTCAACTGGGGATGTAGCTCAGGGGCAGAGGGCTGGAGGCCCTGAGTTCAGTCCCCATATTGCAAAGAAAAAAGTAAGTCTAAACAATAACAGTGAGAGACACTGAGTCCACAGAAAGGATCTCAGCTGGTTGCCCCCCTCACACCCCTTGCACACCTGCCTCATAGGCCACAGGTGTGCTGGAGCACCAGACTTTGGGCCTTTCCTAGGAATAGAATTTAGGCTTCATGGAAGAGAAGGCCAAATTTCCCAAGACCTCATAGAGATTTGGTGCCTGTGAACCTCCTTATACATTATTTCGCTCCTTTCAAGGTCCTATAAGATGCTCTGTTAAAGCTGCTTATGCCAAGTGGATAATACTAGGAAATTCCTCACCTGTGCTTCCTTCCTGGAGATTCCCAAAGAACATCAGCATTTCCAAGGTTCCAGAAGACCTTCTGCAAAAGAAACTGGTCAACTTGAGTCCTGTGTTTCTAAACTTACTTGACCACAGATCCTTTCTATTACAGAAAGCCAAAGAAAGTCCGTGGAGTCTCCTGTACCAGGTGCTTGTACACCATGGGGTACTCTGGTTACTTTATATCCTCATGCTAACTGCCTTGTAGACTCACCAGATCTAAATTTCCTCCCACAGTGAAATATAGGCAGGGTGTGCACCATCTGGCCTGCTGTGACCTCCTCTGAGCTTTGAGCAAGCCTGCTAGAGTGCAGACACATCTGTCCACCCAGCTGGGCTTGGAGGCCCCTTTGTGGACCAGCTTTGTGGGCCTGCACTGGCAGGCCAATTGCTTCCTGGTTCTTTTAGAGCGTTTGGCTGGATGGCCAGTCTGTATACTCACCTTTATGGCCAAATGACGCTCACCTGGGCCAGGACGTCCCGTGGAGGATAGGATGTGAGCAGAAATACTCCATCTGTTGAATCCCTTCTTCCCTGCAGCAGCTCTGGCCCCTGGGTGGTTTTGACTGTCTTGTTGTGCATATGGTAATGAAATATTAAAGTAAATTCTTCCAGTTTTGCAAACTTTTTTTTTTCTTTTTCCCCTCAGGTTCCAGGGGCAGCCTGAACATGTGACAGAAACCCATGGAGCTTTGGAGAGAGGAGCAGAAGGACGAGGAGGAATCACTTCAGAGGCAGACATCTTCCTCTTGCTGGCTGTGAAAGGTGGGCCCTGCTGGCTTGGTGACTTGGAAGACAGGGCTGTGGCTCCATAGAGCACTGGATTGGGATCCTTGTGTCTTCGGGCCTGTTCTCACCCCTCTCCACTGATAGAACTAGGTGGGTGACCAGATGTTCTCTGGGACTTGTCATGGTCTTTACATATTACATAATCAGTGTTTTCTGGGGATTCTACTTGAAGTTGATTTGTCTTTGCACACATTTGTTACCAGTGCTATCTTAATTCCTATTGAGATAAATTGAAGTCAGTGGCCATCCTAGAAAAAAAAAATATTCCTACATTTACTGGGTGTTACCTGGGTGTGGCCTGCTGTGACTTGGGCAAAACCCAGGCTTTCCTACCTACAGAGATCTTGTTTGATCTGGGCAGCCACATCTAAGGGTCAGTGTGGCACTTGCCACCCATATTTCCTAGCTGGCCTCCTGAGGACAACTGTGTGATTTGATTTCATGGAGTGTTATTTTTGAATCTCTGTCTATATCTGGGGTGGAATCTGCCCTGGGTACAGATATACCAGCAGTCCTTCTGAGGCCTGTCCTGGTTTGGCAGTGTCCAGTCCTCTGTCTTGAATAGGCACTGACCTGACCCAAGTAAATGATAACCTCAGAATGGCCAAAGCATCAGAAGGGCCTGAATTTCTCTCTCTGGCAATGAAGCCCCAAAGCTCAAGGGCATGTGCATACCAGTCTCCCAGGGAAAGAATGAGCAGCTCCCCTTTGGATGATTGATTAGCATCTTACATTTCTGTTTGCCAAGGTGTCTCAGAAGCACAGGAGCAGATGGCTTCTCGGGAATTCCTCTGGGGAACCAGGCTTCTACGAATCTAGCACCACGTGGAAATCCAATATTCAAATGAGAGAGGAAAATGGGAAAGAAAATATGCTCTCTTTTTCCTTGCCCCGAGTTAAAACCTGGATATAGAGCTAGAGGGGTCACAAATGGCCTCCACATTCCCTGCCAGTCCGAGGGAGAAGAACAAACCTGGGCCTCCTTCTAGCAGGACCAGGCAATAAGGTCATGCTGACTCTGAGGGGCTGTGCTGAGATGTGAGGCTGAGATAGTGGGCTTCAATTCAATTTGGGGGGCTTTGCCTAAGCAGCTGGTTTGTGCCAGTTCTGGCCCAGATGCTGTGGGATCAGATCAGATAGTGCACAGCCTAAAAAGCATGAACTCCTGGCATAGACCTGGGCTTCTATCCCTGGCTCTGACATGTCCCAGATGTGAGATACTGAATCAGAACCTTAGGCTCTCTGAGCCTCGCCTACCCTCATCTGTAGAATGGGCATCATGGAGCCCATACTTGTTCAAAGGATCAAATGAGTTAGAGCTCACAGAACTTAGCACATAGCACACTTTTTCTTTTCTTTTTTAAAAGGTTCCCTTTAGAATTTTATAGCCTTCCATAGCAGTTGGATTCAGCCCGACAAACTCATACATGCATGGAAATTGATTTCAGTTCACAGTCCCCCTTTTCCCTCCCGGCCTTCCTCCGCTTTCCCACTCTCCTCCCTCTACTCCATTAGACTCCCTTTTGTTTGTCTATTAATTTGTATTTGATTGCTTCTTTATATTATGTTATCTTATCCTTCCCTCTGTCTTTCCTTTATTTTATTCTAGCTTCTGCATATGGCAGAAGACTGTCAACCTCTAAGTTTGGCTAATTTTACTTAGCACAATATATACATATATATACAATTTCTTTTTTCTTTTTTTAATATTATATTTTAGTTGTAGATGGACACAATACTTTTATTTATTTTTTTATTTTTATGTGGTGCTGAGGATAGAACTCAGTGCCCCGCATGTGCTAGGTGAGTGCTCTACCGCTGAGCCACAACCCAGCCCTATATACAATTTCTTAATCCATTCATCTATTGACAGGCATTTGGGTTGATTCCATAATTTAGCTATTGTGAATGAGGCCACTATAAACATTGATGTGGCTGTGTCATTGTATGCTGATTTTAGATCTTTTGGATGAATACTGAGGAGTGGGATGGCTGGGTCATACGGTGGTTCCATCCCTAGTTTTTTTAGGAATCTCCATACTGCTTCCCAGAGTGGTTGTACTAGTCTGCAGTCCCATCAGCAATGTACCAATGACTTGCATTGAGCACTTGGTGCTTTGGGCCAGCCCTATACCCCCATAGTAAGAGGGTGGACATGTGTCCTGCTTTCAGGATGACCAAGCAGAGGGTAGGAGTGGTGGTGTGAGTTTTCCTAAAATCACTTGGATTGTCACTGATGTGGGAAAGACTGGGGTGGGGCTCTCTCAGTTCTCCATGAGGGTCTCCTGTCCCTGCAGGATGGTCCCTCAGCAGGTCTAGGACTGATTTGGGGTGAAGAGAGCCTGCTGGTTGGCCTCCATCCCCACTGTTCTTTGACAGAGGTCCACCATTAGAAACATGTCTCTTATTTTCTTAAGTTTTTCTTCCCCACCAAGAAGAGCCCTTACAGAATCCCAAAGAATTAAAAAAAACCTACCCAGGCCTATGCCCTGAAGCCAGCAAGGACAGCCCATCTGTGAGGGCAGATTCTGAGAGCCCCCTCTCTCCACAGCTCTGACCTTTCGCCTCCTGCTCCGAATCCATGTTTTATAATGTCGCCTGCACTTTCTGGCATTTGGCTTTTCTTGTTCCTTTCCCTGAGGTTTGGTCCCATTAATGTTTATGAGCAAATAAAACTGGGATTGCTGCTTTGGGCCGTGGGACCACAGCCGACCTGGGGAGGGACATCCAATTCAACCTCTTCCCTCTCCTTTGACTTTCCCTGACTTCCACTGCGCTCTCCAGGAAGATGAGCGAGTAGAGAGAAAATGTGATTACAACAGAAACTTCGCCTTCTCCACCTAACTTCTGGACTGTCAGTTCCTTGCTCCAGGTTGGAACTAGAGCCATCAAGAATTCCAAGTGTTGGAAACACGGATGCTAAAATGTTAATTCCTACATTGGGCATGCATGGTTAAAAGAGCCTCTGGGGACACACAAATTCTGGGATGTCACAGGTGGTGTGTTACCGGTTTTCCACAGGGAGGTTGGTAGATATGCATGAGGATGCCTCATTTCTTTTTTGGAGCAAGGAATTGACCCACATCACTTCCAAGATAAAAACCTGTCCAACTTGTGTGCCATGTAGAACCCCATGTTTTTAGCAAATGTATTTTTTTTCTAATCCTAAATGTACATAGTCCTAGATGGGATTCTTTCTCATGGGTCAGGAGGGAAAGTCTTGGTGTTACCTGGGGTGGGGACCAGAGGTTTGTGGGACGTGGCACAGCAGCTGCGTTTGCTGGGCTGCATCATGGGGCTGTATCTGCGGGGAGGGGAAGCATATTCCTTCTGGGGCTGTTGACAGGGCTGTGAGCCTGGCAGAAGGAAAGCAATTATATCATTACATGCCACTTGTGTCTCAAGGGGCCAAATTAGCTGACTCTCCAAAACTAGGGTCTACTTTTGACTTTTTAATTTACAGGCTGATGCACATGCTTGCTAGTCTGAAACCTTCCTAGAACAGCTGAGGTGTGCCTGGCACAGCAGGTGAGGGTTAGAGGAGCAAAATTCGGTTCTGATATTGAGGCTCTCATGGATTAGCAGGAATATAGGACAGACCATATACTAGATGGTGATCAGCAGGATGGGAAAATGTTGGGAGGAAAGGCTTGGAGAAACTTGAGGGCAAGTCCCCCATGTCAGATGAAAAGATGTCACCAAGGTGAAGGAGGAGAGCTGGTCTTGGATGGTGCATAGGATTTGCACAGGTGGGACTGGGGTGAACAAAATTTCAGGAATAGGGATCTGAAACTTAGGTAAGTGGATGGAAGTTCAGCAGAGTTGAGCCTCAGTTGTGGGAAAGCAGTTGGAAAGGGCTTTGAAGATGCTCAGGGGTACTTGGTAAATAATTCTGTGAATGAATGGATGGGCCTTCATTCATTCAACAAACATTTAATGAGCTACTCATGTGCTAGACACCATGTTGGGGGCTGTAAAAAATGTATACAGCTTCACCATGTAGAGCTATAAAAACACCCAGAAATCTCTCTTGCACATGCACGGGTGCACTCAGACAGTGCACATGTATGTGTGCCTATGGTTGCAATTTTGACCAGGGTAACAGAAGAGACCTCTCGGGAACATTGACTTCTGAGTACTTTGAGAGGGATGTAAGGAATTAATCAGGTAGATATCTGGGCGAGGAGCACTCCAGCAGAAGGAAGAGCAATTGCAAAGAGCCTAACGCAGGAGTTTGCCTGGTAAGCTGAGAGGCAGTGAGGAGGCTGCGAGTGGGGGGGGGGGGCTGCCATGGAGTGATGGTAGAAGACCAGAGATGCGGTGGAGCCTCATGGGCAGACTTAGGCTTTGGACTTCATCCTGAGCAAAATGGGGGCTCTGCAGAGATTTGAACAGAAGCGTGACGGTCTATTTGTTTTTAGAATTATTATCCTGCATGTTTTGTGAAAAGATGACCTTTGGGAGGCAAGGGTGGAGTCAGGGAGAACAGTTAGGAGGCTGCTTTGGCCTCCAGAAGGTAGTGACACTGGCCTGGGCTGGAGTGACTTTGTTCTATACATGTTCTAAATATTTTATTTTTGATGAACATGCATCAGTTGTACACATTAATGGGTGCATTGTAATGTTTCAACAAATGCATATGACATACAGTGACTAAATCCAACCTCCTTCTATCCATCCCCTTGCTATTGAACATTCAATTCAACTCTTTTTTTTTTTTAAAGTTCCACAGATGAAAGAGGACGTGTGGTACTTGTCTTTCTGTGTCTCACTTATCTCACTTAACATCATGTCCTCCAGTTCCATCCATTTGGGGATAATGGCAGGATTTAATTCTTCTTTATGGCTGAATAATATTCCATGTGCACTGTATTTTCTTTATCCATCGATGGGTTCCTATATCAATTTCATATCTTACCTATTGTGAATAGTGTCAAAATAAACATGAGAATGCAAGTATCTCTTTTATATGTTGATTTCACTTCCTTTGGATGTTTACTTGGAAATGAGATAGCTAGTTCATATGATAGGTTTATTTGTAGTTTCTGGATACTGTTCTCCATAGTGGGTGTACTAATTGAAATTAGCAT